TGGCGGGACGATTGCTTTCGAGACCAGGCAAGGCTCGCCCCGGACACTTTTTACACTTCTGCCTAGAGCTCTGCAAATACAAAAGCGTTACATTTTGATACTCCATCCCTGTTAACCCCTTACATGTTCTTCCCTTATGTGAGGCTTTGTTCTCGGTCCAGACTTGGGGAGTAAGCAAGAGCCCTGTACGGTAAGAACCAGGCAGGCTGGAGCGAGAGCAACACGGACCGCAAAGGGTTTTCGTATTAGAACTTTCCAATACAGGCCACGGTATCGACAGACATTAGCTTAAAACGCTGAAAAATTCTCCAGGTCGAATACTACTGATAAACTCCCCAGGTCGAGTACTACTGCTAAACTGTATTGCTCAATGTTACGCAATAGGAAGCAATGTCATCTGAGATCAACAGTACTATGCCACAGCTACATAGTATTCGCTGTCTAGTTCTGACAACCACTAGCAGGCTAGAGAAAGAGGCTGTTGCTTGGCGTGCTGATGCTGATATCGTCTAGAAGGAACGCACGGACTATGCCACCGATATGGGGAAATTGGCAACGAGATGTTTTACCATCTAGGGAAAAGCCGCTTATTACCACCAAGAGGGCTTTCCCAAGCCTAAAAATCGCCGGATGCTCCGAGGGTTGGGGTCCGAAACAAAATAGCATAGCATCCATGCCCATCCATGGATGTCAAGTCAACTCACGATTTTAGGGCTGACCTTTTTTGCCTCACTCAGCTAAACTAAAACAGCGCCTCCGCTTTCACCCACCTTCTATCCTAGTTGCCTAGCAAGGCTCAACGTATTATTATTAGGCGGTTTGACGGTTCGGACTTTGGTGAGCAGGCGAGAGAGCGAGAGCAGCACACACCTAGGTCTGCCGGACGCCCCCCGTCTGGAAGGAGAAAGAGGAAACAAGAGACGCGTCCACTAGACTCTGGACTATCTGTTTTCGTGCTTGGGACTTTGAGCAAGTGAGGGGGGGTGGCTGGTGCTCTCTCTCGCTGATTGAGTGATCGTGTGGGGAATACCAGACCAACCATGGAAGCCGACAAAGTCCATGGCCCAGCCCTTCAGGGGGAGGGCGGAACGGCAATGGCTTGTTCGGTTGGCGATCGAGCTGGACGTTCCCAAATGCGGTGCTATCTTTCACGATTTTGCATGCGAGGGCCTACTGCTACCGCTCTGCGATGACGTTCTGATGCCGGCCAGCCAACCGGAATGTACCAAGCCTGCATGGCCAGCTCGAAGCCAGATCAAGAAACGCGGAGCCGGGCTGGTCGAAGCTCCTTGGCCCGCAAGCCGTGCGGGCTTGTGTGACGAGTGCGACGGCGGGATGGACGAAGGCGGCGATGTTTTTCAAGCCGTGGGAGCCAGGTGTCCCGCGGGTGCATCGCATGGCATCAGCCCTGCAGCAAAAAGAAACGACTCCCCCCAACAAAAACCCGGCGTACGACCTGCTGTTTCCCCTCCCTCTCTCCTCTTTTTCTTCCTCCCGTTTCTCCTCCACTCCCCCCCGTCTCTGCTCACCTGGTGCGTCGTTGTGCAGCACGCTTGCACCTTCTTTGGCTGGTAGAGTCTCGCCAAAGAGCAGGATCAGGACGAAGAGGATCCATGTTTCTGCATGCCCTATGACGGATGTGCCCTCGGTGTCGCCGAGGACGCTGGGCGGATGCCACCGAGCTGGCCGGTCTCTCTGCCGCCTTGACCGTGGGCGGCGCCTTGGCTTTTTTGGCCGACATGCACGCATCCCACGAGAACCTGCATCACGGCCCCTGTAATGTATGTGCGGTATGTGCATATGTATGTAGGTAGAGTAGTATATTATGTATCTGCATGCATGTCCAGGTGCGTAGGCATTGGCCGAGGACCTGGCGGATGTGGATTTGCTGTCCCACGTAGCTCTCGCAACTGCGAGACTGTATGCAATGCAATGCTCCCTGCGAAATGGCGGTTTATTATGTAGCAGCGCTGCAAAACCATGGCACACGAGAGAAGCCGCGGACTGGCAGAGAGTGCGGTCAGCTAGACAGGCCTGCGAGCCCAAAGTGCCCAAGCATCAACACCATCCCAGCGTAACATCTGCATCAGACACGCAGATAACACATACATGCAGAGAGAGACCTATAGAGAAACAGGCTGGCACGGCGTCTACACATCCATTCACTCTCCTGGGCTCTGCCTCGCTCTAATCCACCACGTTGCGACCACGGCTGTGACTTTTGTGACTGCTACCACCACCACCACCACAACCACCAGCACGACACCCCTTCCAATGCACTTTTGTCGCAAAGAAGACATGCGCGCCGATATCTGCTATACCCCAGGCCCCGTCGTATGCGTATACGCTGCCTTCCGCCCGCTCAGCGTGCAGCGGCGCCTGCTTACACGCGCGAGGCGAGGCGTATCGACCACAGTTTTTGGCATCTTGGCCCAAGCGTGAGCCCGTTCATCCTCGCTCGCTTCCTCTGCTCAAGTCCGATCCGAGTCTCCGTCTCCGTCCCTCCTCTCCTGCGCCTGTTCTGTACGTACATGCACCTTCTGCTTGGCTCCTACATGCCTCCCCCTACACAGCAAGCAGTCCGGTCAACTGTGCGGACGGGCACCCCCCTCCCCCCCCTGGCCGACGGACAAGGCATCATCACCATCATCTTGACCGCCCCTAAGTCCCCAGGCCCCGGCGATTGGCTGGCTCGTGTGGTTGAGAAAAATATAAGGGACATTGGTAGACCAGGGCATGCCCTATCCAGGCCCCATGGGGTCAGGGAATCGGTACATGGCCGTCAAGTACCATCACAACCTTCACCCCGACCGTTTTTTTCGCTCTTCCACGCCCTCACCCTTCTCCTACAGTCCCCCTCCCTGGTCGAGGCTACAAATGTACGAGTGACGCACTGCCGCCAGCAGGCTAATCCCACCCAGGGTTTTCGGTCGATCATGGTGCGCGGGGTAGGGCAGGACGCACTGCGACATCGAAGCTGATATCTCTCGTTGCTATGTTACCTAACCCTCCTCCGCTTGTGATTACTCTCCTGCTACTATTCCTGTGGTGTTTTTTTTTCTTGGCCCCCAAACCAAGAGACCCTTTCCTAAAGCCAATCCTGAAGCCCTGGTGCTTATTGTGAGGCTACTGGATCTCTCCTCAGCTCGAATTCCTCCAGTCCGACCGCCGGACCTCTGCTCCAGGGTCCTTTTGGCGATGGCGTTTGCGCCATGACCTGATTCCAAGGGGACCCTTTCTTCCTGTCAGGCGGACCCCCTCGATTTGCCCAAAGCTTCAATTCTCCATTGCCCAATGCAAGAGAGACAGCTTTTGGAAGTGCGTGTCTCCCTAGGCCAAGGCATGTCAGCTGCGACTGGCGGGGATGCTATCTTCTACGGAAGGGAGGGGTGTTTGGGTCCGGTTAAAGCGTCAAACCCAACATATCCCAGGATGGTGTGTGTAGAAATGTCTACTACCACGACGCTGGTTGAATCATATCTTTCCCAGTATGGGTCGACCGGCCATGACTGACCCGCCATTCTCGCTCCTCGGGGGTTCGATTATCGAGCATACATCTGTCTGCATAATAGAACAACCCGGCCGGTGTAACCAAAGCACTTTTGGCTCCGTCTTGCTCTCTCCCATAGGGAGAGGCCATGTATGAGCGTCTGTCTATGCTGCCTGCGTACCTCGGCCATGTTACCTGAATCCTCCCTCCGAGCACGGCCAGGCTCGCTTGGATGCGCGGATCTGGCTGAGAGGCTGCGATCAGCGATAAGCCGCTGCCGTAAGTGAAGGTAATCGTCCCGAGAGGGATCGACTGGCACTATCTCGACCAACGGCATCCAAGCCTGCCTCCGCTGCGCTGGCCAGGCCTGTCCCCGCCGGAACCCCTACGTAGACTCGCAGAAGTACATACACTTCATCCCGACCCTCTCCTCGTGGGAAAAAGCGACCCTGGGGGAATCCTCAGAAGGGACTCTCGTGCTTTGATATAAGCACTAGGCCCCTTGTGGGAGAGGAGAGTCAGAACGCTGCATGCTGACATTGTGTGCGGGACTCTGGTTGTCCGGCATCGCAAAAAAAAAACCAGTATAATAAGCCTCATGTGGTCTGTTTTTCTCCAGTTCGAGGGATAAACAACGCAGGCTTCGGGGATAGACTTGTCCAGTAACTCCGCCTGATGGACGCCATGGTGAGATAGGTCAGACCGACGGCCCAGCGCTGCTCCAATTGCTGCACGGATTCTAGAATACAGTACAGGCGATCGATGAGATCGCTCTTCTCTAGCGGCTTTTTTTCTCACATACATTACATAGTGTTTGTTTACACCCCCTGGCTGTTATCACGGGAGTCCAGGGGGGCTAGGCGTGAGGCCATAACCAACACCTAGTTAGTCGGCGACTTACAGGCGATCACAGCTACATCCAGGGAACATGATTCCGGTTCTCAGAGGCAGTTGGAATTACGATTGCCTTCTTTGCTTATCGCCCATTCCTTCCTCCGCACCTACATCATTGCTTGTTCCCAAGATCTCCGAAAGAGGGGGAGGAATATTGGTAGCATGGGAGGAAGATATGTCACGCCAGCGTTGCTGACAGAGGGGTCGCGCATCACGCAATTTGGGGATGTGCGAGCCGTAGTTTGCCAATATGTAGTCAGATTATGATACGATGAGTTGGGACAGAGCCGCTGGCTTCCCTTGGGAGAAATTGACAGTAGAGATTGCTGGGGCCAAGATAACTGCTTCCCACCAGCCGCGGACGTCCGCTCAATCCAGCATCACATCCTACCCGGCGTTCTACCTGACATGTAAACTGTACAGATTTCGCCCCGCGAGTTCCGGATGTAGAGACTGGAGGCCGATAAACATCCGTCCATGATTTGCCAGCCGCCCCTCTCCGTCACACGGCATGAGTGAGTCCGCCGTGGAACAGTAGTCGGATCCAGTGCAAGTGTTCTCCTCACAATTCCTAGGCATTAAACCCACCAAACACTTTAACCTCATGTTCCGGATATCACCTAGTGGGAAGATCTGAAGGGACAGACGGGAAGTAGCCAGGCTGGGACGCCCTCTCGCGGTCTCGTTTGGCAACTTCTGCCTGCCTCTTTTTCTGAATCCTCTGTTGATAGAACACGCTGAGAATAACAATGAGTAGCTGTGGAAAGAGTCTAGGCCAAGTAGAATATAAAGATGACTTACTGTTTGAGCTCGAAAACCCGAGGCTCCTCCTCCGTGGGAGTGTCATTCTCGTCGTCCGCTTTCTATCCGCTTGTCAGTGCTCCCATGATGTATGCACAGATATCCTAAACATGAGAACTTACCGCCTTGTCTTTATCCTTGTCCTCGTCTTTGTTCTTATCCTCATCTTTGTCCTTGGCCTTGTCTTTGCCATCCTTGTCTTTCTCCTTCTCCTTCTCCTTTTCCTTCTTCTTCTTTTGCCGTTCCTCGTACTCCTTCATCAGCTTTTCCTTTTCTTCAGCGAGTTCTTTTTCCCGCTTTGCTTTGACAGCTTCCTCATCAATTTTGGGAGTAGCAAAGTTGGGGTCCTTCAGATGGACTGGGCAGATGTAGAAGAAATCCTGTTAGTGGCGTGGGTTAGAAGACGTTTGCACCGTTTCACCCATATGTCCATCGACTCATTCATCTTTTTGGCTTAGCATTTCATCTCCGTACCTTCTTATCTGGGGTTATTAGTACGGATGTGCTGGGCTTGTAGCAGACATCGCAAGCCTTGGAAGACGTCTCAGCGACCTTCCGATGGGTGTAGATGTTGGGAAACGGCGTCGCCATCTCGTACGAGGAGCCCGCTCCCACGGGCAGTTGACTCGAGCGGAAATCCTCTGACCAGGGAAACAAACGAGGCACAGATTCGCCCCGGAATAAAGAGACTCTGCTTAAACTCTAATAAACACTTTCAATATGAACCTGTTATGCCGTGGGGCGACCAGGTGTGAATGCTATTGACCATCTGCATGACTAAGCAGGCGCTTCGTCACTCCAGAGTTGGTAGAGATAAACAAAAAAACACCGACATCCATTCATAGCCTCAAATTCTCCCTATTGCACTCTAGAGGCTCTAGAGATACCGTCAGAAGCATGAGTCAATCTTTGGATACCCAGAGGTTGACGGCCATTTTTGGGTCTCGGCCAGATATTATGGCCGGGATTCAGACAGCTGCCGGTAGGTCGACTCGATGACGGAACCCGTGTCTGGCCATCGGCCACGCGATATACGGCCAGCAAAAATCATCGCATGCTAATCAATCGTGTCGATACAGACTCCCCGGGAAGAATTGCCCTCTTCAACGAAATCGCCGCCCATCTAAGTGACCAGGCGTCAACGAATGCCGAGCCTGCCAACAAGAAGAGGAAGATCGACTCTGGGAACGTGAATGGAACGTCCACGGGTGGAGCGAACGCGGCTGAGGAGCCTGTCCTGCTCGAAGTCAAGGAGATATCCGTCTCTGTGCCCCAGCGCAAGAAGTTCGAGCTCTGCTTCACCGAGGGCCACATCTACGCCCGAGCCCCAGGCACAACGGCCCCAATCCCGGCCATCACATACGCTTGGACAGACATTGGTACGGTGTTCCCCCTTTGCCTATTACATTTGGTCCAGACCACCTTGCTAACTGTGTTTGTCTTTTAAGAATATATCTTCTATCTGCCCGTTCCTGAGAAAGCCCAGGTCCAGCACAACTACGTCCTCTTCCCCCGGGGCTCGTACCTCCCTTCCAAGACAGAGCAGGCGCCCGCCGAACCGCTCGTCTTCACAGTTCCCGCCACGGCACCGAAACAGGGCACGATTGGCGGCAAGGACGCTGCGTCCGCGGCCAGCGTCTCCGACACATACAAGGATCTCTTCCATTGGGCTATCGGCAGCCGTCTGAAGCTGGCTGGGAACGACGTCAAGATCGTATATGCGGACCCCAGCCAGTTCCGGAGCGTGATTCGCCAGTCGCACAGGCCTAAAGAGACGGCCGTCCATGTTGGTGGGTACAGGGGCTCCAAGGACGGCTTCCTCTTCTTCCTTGAGAACGGCATCCTGTGGGGTTTCAAGAAGCCCCTGATATTCATCCCCCTGAACCGGATCCAGGCCATCAGTTACACCAACATTCTCCAGATGACCTTCAACATCGTCGTCGAGGTTCTCTTGGGCTCCGACTCCATGGAGGAGTTTGAGTTTGGGATGCTGGACCAGCAGGACTATGGCGGCATCGACGACTACATCAAGACGAACCGTCTACAGGATCGCAGCATGGCGGAGCAGAGGAAGGCCAAGCTCCAGCTCGCGGAGAACCGCCCGAAGAAGGAGGACGGCGAGGGCGAGAATGGCGATGCCACCATGACGGATGCCAACGCCGCACCCAACGGTACGACTGAGCTTGAGCGCGCTCAGGCTGAGGCTGAGCAGCTGCTGCAAGATGATGAGGATGAGGATGAGGAAGACTATGATCCTGGAAGTGAGGGTGATAGCGAAGGGTCTGGTGACTCTAGCGACGAAGACGATGATGATGACGACGATGATGATGACGAAGACGACGACGACGACAATGACGGTGAGGCTGAGGAGGAGGAGGTCGAGGAGGAGGTCAAGGAAGAAAAGATAAAGGAAGAACCTCCTCCAGTCAAGAAGCCGGCCCGGAGGGCTGCTGCTCCAAAGAAAGAGCCTGCTCCAAAGAAAGAGCCTGCTCCAAAGAAAGAGCCTGCTCCAAAGAAAGAGCCTGCTCCAAAGAAAGAGCCAGCTTCAAAGAAGGAGCCAGCTCCAAAGAAGGAGGCGGCTCCAAAGAAAGTGGCCGTGAAATCCGAACCCGCTGCCATGCCTGTTCGTCGAGGCTGGGCTACTATTAGCAAGAACCAAGCCCCCTCCCAAAACGTGAACGATGAAAAGTTTGATGTTATCTGATGATGGGAATCGCTCTGGAGTTGTGGGATTTACTATCTAATAACGAAAAGTTTACAAAATAAATAAAATCCGGCGGCTGGTCCTCCATGTATTTTTATCCCGAATGAGGCTCACCTTATCACCCAGTTCATCCATGTGTGTGAAAGAATCCTGGAGATTTCAGGGACCTTCTCATAGGTCCGTGGAAAATCTCGCCAGGTCATCTGTTTCTCGAACCGGGTCTTCAGCTTAATATTTCGGCGGTTCTTGCAGAGAGATCACAGACCACTGTACCTGTCTGTTCGAATCAAACAGTTGGGTCCAGGAGTCTACCGCTACCCCTCCGGGGCTTCTATTATACGAGCGTATATACATCAGTTGGCATTCAGAGAGCTTAGGATACTACCGAAGTGCATACGGGTGATCACAATATCTAGTTACTAGGACAAGGAAACAACGCTTAAAAAGCCTTCTAGACACCTAAGCTAAGGATTACAAAGACAGAGTCAAAAAGAAGCAAAAGACATGGCGTGGCAGCACCTCATGGGAATCCTTGTGACAAATTTCCTTGTTCCTTGACAGTCGAAATCCACAGTTTTAAAAGTCTGAACCAGGAAACACCTATTGCACATCACTCAAACCACAACCACGACAGCGATGAGGGCCTGAGCTTGGCTTTCATCATCGCGAACGTCGAGAAGCTTGGCAAAAACTAAGTCAATCCATTTAAACAGTGTATTCCTTCCGAGCATGGAATATCAACAGAGAATGTGTTTACAGAAAGCTTCTTTGCAGCCCATATTACTTACCTAGGCATCGGAGAGATTTCTTAAGCAACGGTTACGTTGAATATGAGAATACCGCATGCCAATCAACCAGTTAGTTGGCCCATCTCTTGTCAAAACTAAGCATATAATGAGATCAATACTGACCAGTTCATACTATCAGTCATCCGGAAATGAGCCCGAGCCCATTCTCCAGGGAAGCCTGAAATCTCGATATATCCCTGGAGGCAGCTCGTTGAATGATTTGCTAAGTCGGGACACCCCAAACAGGACCGCCCTGATCGTTGTGCTTAGTGTCGGAGTACCAATCCTCCTCATTTTGACTGGCTACATTCTCCATCGCCGGAGAAAGAAACGTAATGCCCCCTGGCGTCCGCCAAAATCAGCATGGGGGAAATTGCGGAAAGGTGCCACGCCGAAAGTTATGCCAAAACGACAGACAGGAGAGTCATCTGGGATTCAAGCTCCAGCGCCCGTTTACACTGCTCCAAGAACGGGAACCTCTGGCGAGGAAACCAAAAAACGGTCATACTCGGAGCGAAACATTAACGGTGCCAACTAGGGTCCGGCACACTACGGTGATGGCGGTAATGCAAAAGTGTAAAGAAAGAAGGCGTCTGAAGATGTCGGAAGGCGATCCTCCAACGACGAATAGTTAGAACATTGCGATTTATCATACCCCAGGAAGGAAATCACAGGAACTTTAGTTGAGGCTGTGAGCCTTGAAACAGGTACGGATAGATCAGACAGTGATAAATAAATCCACGATCTCACTCGTTACGATACAATTCCTCAATAAATCTTACTAATGGATTCAATAAGACAAATAAGATAGCTTTTGATGCAGTGGTTCTCATACATTGATGACGAAATCCACAGGTAGATTGGCGATGAAGGGTGTCACGTGCAGATGCGCTGCGCACGTGATCTCAAAATTTCCCCAAGCTCCCGCAGAGCAAGATGGCTTAACCCATATCAAACGACCGTGATACCAGCCCAATTGTCTCTTGCGCCAGGTCCTGTCGCCACTCCCACAGATCCTCACACAATGGCCGGGCACAAGGCAATCCGTCTTCCCCCGCTGAAGACCCTCCGCGTCCACAACCCCCAACGAGTCCCCGAGAACCCATGCATCGCCGTCATGTCCACGGTACTGGGTATGTCTACATTTTCCCGATCGAAGCCCCGGAATGCCCCGTTCGATTGATTCACGAGTTCATATACCACGAATAGTTTCATAAAGCTAACCGCGCCCAATCTTCTTGTAGCCTGCTGGGCCTCTGCCGGGTACAATGCCGCAGGCTGTCTCGCCGTTGAGAACCAGCTCCGCTCATGTATGGACGGCGCCAAACCCCCCGGCTCGAAGCCAAACACGATCAACTACCATCTTACTCGCATGCAAAAGGACGTCACCAGCAAGCCGAAGCGAAAGTAAACGTCTCATCCGTACCTTCTTCTCGGATCAAGGAAAAAAAGAAAAAGAAAAAGAGCTCGTGCTCGAAGCGCTTGTGGAGAACACATCCATTATATATCGCGGGGGAGTTCCCAAGCGTTGCATGCGGTGGACTCGATGGGGCCTACACATGGGAGCATCTGTTGTATAATGAGGGGCACTGATGTCGAGCCAGAGGTCCTGCCTTCGGGCAAATTGATGAGGTGCTGAATTGGCATTTCCTGGCGTTGGGTTGCACAGAATATCTGATGACACTGTACTTGTAGCTAAAGGTCTGTGACAAGAGCTCGAGACCGCTCTTTAGAATGTACTAAATCAATGAACAAATTTCAAACTTCGGCGGAACCACTTGCACTGCGTTTCATGTTGAAATGAAGGCTGAGTGGCATGCACTCATCCCGCCGAAGCGACATAACCCAGGTCGAGTTCGGATCACATTGAAAATTGCGTCAATATTAAAGATATGGAAATTGTCAACCTGAAACAATGTAAATTTACCAACCCTTGAGATGGAAGAATAAAGCCAATAATAGATGTACCTCGCTGCGATGCCGTATCTATATGTATGTTCTCAGCCCCCTAACATGCGCTCTGTCCTCCTCGCGCTTCACTCACCATCATCCCTCCCATGTTAGATAAGAGTGCAATAATCGAGAATATCAAATGTCCC